GGTGTTTTTTTTTTTGTGTGATGCAGCGGATTGAGTTGATAAGTTGATGGATTTCTCGACGACTAAGGTATACCAGCGGACGCGTTCTTGCTACGAGAAGATCTACTTGGAGTTCAGTAAGAAAAAAAAATCTGAAAGGATTCGCAATGGCGGCGATGCTTTGATTTGCGAGAGCGGTGGAGATCAGGTCAATGCTAGGGTTGATGGAGTTGTTTCTACGGGTGAGCGTTCTCGAAAATCGAGTGAGGGTTTAAGGGGAAGCAATGGGAGAAGAGATGAAATTGATGCTGGGTCTCGTAAGATAAAAGGAGGCCTTAAAGGGAGGGAGGAATTGGGGAAAGTTTCAAAAAGGGGTAAGAATGTGAGGCAAGGTGGTTTAATTGATGATTTTGAGAATAGTGATGATGATGGTGTGGGGTTAAAAAGATCCTTGCGGAGGGGCCGCAGTAACTCTAGAATCAAAGAGGATTTTGGAAGTGGAAAGGCTGAGAAGATAGTGCAAAGGGGAAAAAGAAGAGGTAAGAATGCGAGTGAAAATGGCCTCATTGATGAATCAGAGGATGACTGTCGCGATGATGATGATGGTCTCCAGTTGACTAAGAGCTTTGGGAGGAACCAAAAGAAGTTTAATGTGGAAGTAGTTTCTGGAAGTGGAAAAACCAAGAAAAAGTTTGAGAATCGGTCGAATAAGGTTTGCTTGGGAGCAAAAAGGGGATTAGGGGAAAACTTGAAGAACCATAAGAGAGTAGGAACAAAAGATTCACAGCAAAATAGTGAGAATGATGATGATGCTCTTTCTTATTTGGGTTATAATACTAAGTTGAGCAAGAGCTTTGGGAACAATGACAGCAAATCCGATCATGTTTCTGGAAAGATTGAAAACAAAGTGCAACAAGGGTTTGTGAACAACACTACTGCTACAAAAGGTGATTTTTTCCTTGATGAAAGTGATGACGACGAAGGTGTCATCTATTTGGGTGATAATGTTACGTGTTTGGATGATTATGATCCCTCACATAGTTCTCGTGTGGAAAGCAATGAGGTAAAGGTGAATGCACCGGAGTTGGATTCCATGCCAGTGGATGATGAAAATCATGATGACTCAGAGGGGTTAAATTTATCTGAAGAGGATGAGGATGATCCACAGGAGTTTAAGTTATCTGAAGAGGATTCTAGTGATTGGCGTGAAGAGGATGATGGTGATAGGAGGGACCTACAGCCATCTGAGAATGACAATGATGCTGCTGGTGTTAAGGATTTTATAGTTATTAGTTCGAGTTCTTCTAGTGACTCTGAGGATGGTCAAGAAGATAAAAATGCCATGGTGGACGGTGATGACGACGACTCTATTGTTCTGGAGGTGGGAAACATTAGTGACATCGGAAACAAGGTTTTGACTGAAGTGGTCGAAAAGCGTACATCAGACGAGGGAGAAAAAGAAGAAGATGATGTATGTGAAGAGAAGTATTCTTTGAAAGGAAAATCTGTTGATGAGCCTGGAAAGAACGCAAAACTTAATTTTATTGAGCCTGGGGTTGGTAAAAAGCGAAGTTGTGATGGCGATGACAAACAGAAAACTACGGAGGGTGGGTTGAAGAAGATGCGGACTGACAGAGATACTGAATGGTGGCAAGACATATCAACATGTCTGCCATCTCATTTATGTCCTGGTCCTAAATTGAAAAACAAGCAGCTGATACAGGAAGGTCCTTATTTTGTTGAGGAGCATAGGAAACTTGATTTTTCATTTCAAGATGACAATGATGGAGGTGGTGAGGAGACTTTTGTGCAATTAGTTGATGAAAAAGGAACCCAGAAGGCAGGGAAGAGTACAGGTAGAAAGCTTAACGGATTTGGAAATAAAATTGATGTGATTAAGATTCTCACAGACTCCATACGTGGGGGAGGGGATAAAGAGCTGCTTCAGAGGCATGTCAGTCCTATTGATGACAGTCCTCCAGAAGAAACACCTCTTGACCGAGTACTGTCGCTTAAGTTTAGGTTTGAAGATGAGGAAGATGTGAAACCAGAGAAAGTAGAATGTGAGATGGAAGTGGATGGGCTTTTTGATGAGATGAACATGTGCTTACAAATCTCAGAGATTGGCTATTCTGGCACTCCTGTGGTAAGTTTCCACTTATTTGGAAAAATCAAGATACATTTGTGATTTCATGTTTAAAAGGCTGTCATTTGTTTTCTATGTTTAGAGTATCTAACGTCTCTGATCAACTTAGCCGATGAATGCTCTTAATAGAAACTTTCTGTTTTTTCCTAAATCATTTACATCTAATATTGCTTTGTAAAAGTTCTTTCCTTAACTATGTCTTCATCATTTTACATTCTGGCACTCCTGTGGTAAGTTTCCACTTATTTGGAAAAATCAAGATACATTTGTGATTTCATGTTTAAAAGGCTGTCATTTGTTTTCTATGTKTAGAGTATCTAACGTCTCTGATCAACTTAGCCGATGAATGCTCTTAATAGAAACTTTCTGTTTTTTCCTAAATCATTTACATCTAATATTGCTTTGTAAAAGTTCTTTCCTTAACTATGTCTTCATCATTTTACATTGTTATCTGTTAACCTCCCAGCAGAACTCTTCTAGGTTATTGTTTTGCTTCCCTTTTTTCCTTTAGATATGTTGTTGCTGCATGACTTTTTTTGCTTCCCCATTGAAGTACTATGGGTTGCATCATGTTTTTACCTATGCTCTCACTTTCTTACAGTCTCCTTTTACTAGCACATGCCTTTTGAAAGAAGTATTTTCCTATGGAACAATTAACCAGATTCTGATTGTGCTTTCACTCCTAAGAAAGAAGGCCACCAGACCACAATTCTACCTTGCAGTCTCTTAGCAATTCATTAGGGAGGTCATGATAAGAACTTGGTACAACATAATAGCCTTCTTCCTGATCAAAAAAATTAGCTGTGAACTGAAATCCTATTATTTGGATTTGAGAAATGTCATACTTTTTGTAGAATTGGATATACTAGATACTGTTAATGACAGACAATTGTAAGGAGATTTATAATAAGAAAAGACAAGTACATAATCAGTAATGAGTAGAGGGTGTGCGTTGTACATTGGGGAAACATGACAAAGCCAGGTTTTTGAAGAGTACGTTAGAATTAAGGTATCATTTTCAGACTTTGATCTTTGTTCATCATATATCGTCAAGCTCATTGATTAACTGGTATAGCAGATTGCCAATATTCTTTAGAATTAAGCAGAGGTTACTTTTTACTATTTAATTTAGTAACCTGAGATCTTGTTCTTTTTCCATGTATCTTGAAGGGTAATAAAGCGAGTTTGGTTTTTCTGTCAAGAGGGTGGTGCCCGAGCCTCCCAAAATTTAAATAATTTAGCTACTCAAATTGCTTTTGACGGTATGCAGGTTGATCGTGGTGATGCTAACTTCTTGGTGGAGGAGGCAGATCAATTTACCCGTTGTCGACAAGGAAAACATCTACTTGCTATTAATGATCAGTTTGGTATCATCTGCAGATGTTGTTCTTATGTTGAGATGGAAATTAGAGATATTTTACCCCCTCTGGTTGGTCTTAACTTATCTTTTATTCATATATTTACAACTTATTATGAACAGGACTATTTGACATTTATTCTTCTCAGCATTATAACTTAGTTCGAGTTAAGTTGACAATAAGTAGCTGGTAAAGTTTCTACCATACTTTTCAGTTGCAAATTGCGTCACTGAACTTTGGCTTCAAAATTATTACAATGTTCACTGAATTTTGTGCAGATCTTATTAATGCTCGTCCTTTAATAGCTTAAACATGTGAATTATAAAATTAGTGATCTATACTATAATGAACCATGATGTTATCACATATATATTTACATTTAAACAATGTATAAACAAATCTTGTGAGACTAAAAAACTATTATATTTACCTTTCAAAATCCAAACATCAGACACTGAAACAAATTAAATAATCCATCCGCTCCAAAAGGTGATCACAATCTTTGTAATTAGTCATAGTCCAAAATTACTCTCTTTTTGGTGGGGGAGCCCCAAAAGGAACATGAACTTTTCTTAGTATAACTTAAAGCTTTTGGCCCAGCCAATCGCTGGATTTACATGTCATAATTGTTATTTGATTTGGTTTTGTATGCAGAGTAAGAATGGAAGGGGAGGGCATGGTAGACATGACAATGACAAAGCAAACAACCAGAAAATTCCTTCTGACCTTCAGTGGGCTGATTGCCATCCTGAATCCCTCCATGATTCTAGAAGGAGTACATACGAAAAGGGGACCGTTTGGGACTTGGTTCCTGGTGTTAGAGAGACTATGTATCCACATCAACGTGAAGGTTTCGAGTTCATTTGGCAGAAAATAGCTGGTGGGACCTACATTGAGAAGTTGGACAAATGCCTCTCTAATGGTGGGAGCGGATGCATAATCTCTCATGCCCCTGGAACTGGCAAAAGCCGCTTGACGATTGTTTTCCTCCAAGCATTTATGAGAATGTATCCGAATTCTAGGCCATTGATAATAGCTCCTCGTTGTATGCTCCTTACATGGGAAGAAGAGTTCAAAAAATGGGATGTCGATGTTCCTTTTTACATCTTGAACAACAATGAGTGTTCCGGCCAGGAAGATACATTGGCTGTCTCTCTTCTGAAACAAGCTGGGAATGGAAAAAGTGTACGTTGCCTTCGCATGTTAAAATTGTATTCCTGGAAGAAGAAGTCGAGTGTCTTAGGCATCACATATAGATTGTTTGAAAGCCTTGCTGGCGAAGAAGGGAAGAAGAAACGATCTCTAAGGAATCCTGAACACGAGGAGATAAAACGAATCCTCCTTCAAGACCCTACTCTTTTAGTGCTTGATGAAGGGCACACACCCCGGAATGACCAAAGCCTTGTTTGGAAGGCTTTGCAAAATGTCAAAACAAAAAGGAGCATCATTTTATCCGGAACTCCTTTCCAGAACAATTTTGATGAGCTTTATAATACCCTCTGTTTGGTGAATCCTTTATTATCATTTGGGATGGCGCCCATAAGGAGTGATGAGTTCAGCAGAAAGCGTGGATGGAAGAACAATGCGGCAAGAGGGCAATGGGATTCTATTACAAGCTCCATCAGAAAGAGCCAACACAAGTTACATGAACTTAAAGCGTTGATTGACCCTTTTGTCCATGTCCATAAAGGAACAATTCTTCAAGAAAGGCTCCCTGGTCTGAGGGATGCTTTGGTTGTTCTAAAGCCCACCACAACGCAGCAAAAACTTCTTGGAAAGATAGGAGGAACGAAGCTTTCCTTGGAAAATGACTACATGATGTCCTTAGTATCTGTCCATCCTTCACTGCTCTCCGAATACGTTACCCATAATGAAGGGTTCCGTAAAGTGCTTAAAATGTTTGAAAGAGATCCTCGTGTTGGGGTCAAGACCCACTTCTTAATGGAGCTTATCAAGCTCAGTGGAGCGTTAAATGAGAAGGTTTTGGTTTTCAGTCAGTACATTAAGCCATTGGGATTCATAATGGAACTGCTGAAAGCTAAATTTCAATGGGTTGAAGGCAGGGAGTGCTTATATATGGATGGACAACAAGAAGAGAAGCATCGACAAGCTTCCATTAATACCCTTAATGACCCTAAAAGTGAAGTAAAAGTACTTCTTGCATCGATTAGGGCCTGCTCTGAAGGGATTAGCTTGGTGGGTGCTTCTAGAGTTGTGCTTCTTGATGTTGTATGGAATCCATCCGTGGAAAGACAAGCCATAAGCAGGGCATATAGGCTCGGTCAAACGAAACTGGTCCATGTTTACCATCTTGTCACTGGAACAATGGAAGGTGAAAAATACATTAGACAGATTGAGAAGAGCCATTTGTCAGAATTGGTCTTTTCTTCCAAAAACAGAGATAACTTGAATCCTAAAATTTCACCTACCGTTTCGGCAGACAAGATCTTAGAAGAAATGGTGCAGCATGAGAAGCTGCAGCATATGTTTGAGAAGGTCATCTGCCAACCAAAAGAATCTGATCTAATTCAAACATTTGGTTGATACAGGTGTGTTTTTACTTCTATGGTTTTTTATTTGTATTTCTTTAGCAAATGAAAGAAATCTTGCATGCATTTACTGAAAAAATTTCGTGATCAACATTGTCCAGTGTCGTATACCTTCATGTTCTTGTTTTTGAAATTTTGCGGATTGATTTTAATAAACCAAGTGGGTAACAGTAAATTGATATCTTATTTATAGATCTCGATTTTCTGTTATATGGATATAGATTAAGGGTTGGGTTCTGGTAAAAATAAGAGTTATGATGAGAAGATGAGAACAAGACATTCATATATCTTCATCTACATTCAACTACCTTTATCTAGCTATTTTTATCATCATGACCGTAACTTTATCAAATTTTCATCTACATTCAACTACCTTTATCTAGCTATTTTTATCATCATGACCGTAACTTTATCAAATTTATGCATGTGAAAACGATTAAATGTATGTAAAAGTTTGTGAAAGTGACTTAGAAGTGAAGAAAAAGGTATATGCATGTAGTTGGGTTAAAAAGTCAACTCATCCAAAGGCTCAAAAGTATTCTCACCTTATCACCATAACTGTTATTTTTACATGATCCTTTGTCTAGAGATTAAATGGACCAGGGTTGGGGCAGTTAGATTTGGCTGATGCTCGGTCGAGAGAGATATTTAAAGAGGATTAGCTTGGGCAGGTTCAGGTTGAAATGACTTGAAACCAAATCAAACCAAACGATCCCCGTTCGGAGTCTAGTATGTGTGGTCTAGGGGTGTGATGTATACAAACCTGACATCTATCTAAAAAAGTAAGGGTTTTAAAGTTGGTTTGTTGTAGAAACAATTCATTTATTTTGTGGTTTTCTTTCACGGATCCAAAGTCTAATTAATTAACTCCAGTTTCTATGCATTCAGGTTGAGGAAGGAGACTTTTAGGATGATACCGAAGAAGACGACTCATTTAATTGGTGCATGCAAGTCGTTTGGTCTTTTTAACTCCTGAAACAGAGTTTTTTGAAGCTCAGCGGTTTTGTTGTTCGGTTTGTGTAGTTGGATATTTCGTTTTCATCCATTCTATGTAACTGTAAAGGTGGAATGGAATTACAATCACATTAATTTCTGCAAAATGCCTATAAAATTGACTCTTGCTCAAGACAACCATTGTTTTGTGAAGAAGGTTTGGTACTGTTTTCATCATATGAACAAGGTTTGTTATTGTTTTGACAACATTTTTGTCCAAAGGTGGGTCTAATTGCATTACTATTCCTTTGTCACTAAAAAGTGTTGATTGGCATTCTGTAAAAAGAAAAAGGAAATGGCTAATATGGTCTTTAGATACTCGTGGGTCGTGGCCACTTTCCACTTTGACCCATTTCAACTCCTATTTCTTCCATTCACATTGACTTCTATCATCGTTGTCTTCTTACCGGAGTGGAGATGGTGACTCAAGTGGAGATGGTGATGACGAGGTAGTTTGGTTTCCCGTTTCTCTCTCGTCTCGTCGGTGATGCTCCTCGTATGTGTGTGTGTATATAAATGTTGAGTGTATATATATAAAGAGATATATTAATGCTTTGTATATGTGGGTAATAGCTCCTCTGTGTATATATATGCTGCATGTATATACATACATGTATAGAATACAATCTATTGTATTTGTACAACCAATATAACCTAATAAATTGAAATATTTATGAATATGATGAAAATTTGTTTATTATGATTTAAATATTTATGGAAGAAGAATACGGTTTATATTATGAAATAATCAAAATTTTTATACATTATATATTTATCAAATTAAATAGACGGTTGAGATTGAGTTATATTGATTGTACAAATATAAAAGATTGTATTACTTGTATAATAACCCATCTCTCTCTGTATATACATATTCACACACACACACATAAATATATACACTTATACATGTGTGTGTATCTGTGTGTACCGGAAAGACGCGAGAAAAAGTGAGAGAGGGAGAGGTGGTGGGAAATGCAGTCATTGGGTGGGGCCATGTATCAATAAACAAAAGAGTAAATTACATGATTTGTCCTTTTTTAATAGGTTGAATTACATTTCATTTTCCCAAAAGAAATTTTTAAAAAATATATGAAATTACTCAATTACCCTACTTATCAGAATCGTCTAATGGTATTAAGAGAGACTAAAGACATGTAAAAACATAAACCATAAAAATGCTTTCCATAATTATTTTGATTTAGAGACATACAGTGTGATGTAAATACAGAGACCATTTATGTAATTTACTCAATATATACATATATATATATATATATATACTTGTTTTTATTTTTATTGCTGAATTTATAAGATTATATTTTGATTTATTTTTAAATATCTAATATTCAATATAATTTTTTTGCTAAAAATTTCAAAACCTTAATTAATTCACTTGTTGATTTTCAAAACTATTGAAAATTTATTTTTAAGTGAATATAATGTTTTGTTTTGTATGGTCTATTTTTATAAATTAATATACTGAAAAGATAAAAGAAAATATATGGTTTGTATCTATATCTATATACTATATTATAAAACATTTGATGAAAATTCTTAAAAACCATTTTTATGCATAGAGTACTGTTTAATATTATTTAAAATTCAAGATTGTATGTAAATTATACGTAAGTACAACTTATTAAAACTTAATGTTTGAATTCGTGTAACTAACTGCAGAAGTGCATATAAACATAATCAAATAAATGATAAATATCTCAGTTTAAATATATAAAATCTAAAATATAATTAGGATAATTATTGACTTCTAACAAAATATTTGATCATTATCTTTATAAAAACTATATTACTAAACCAAAAATAAATAAAAAAAATGAATTAAGAAGATACACATAAAAAGAGAATTTTTAAATAGTTAGTTTGATACTAATGTCAATATTTTTTTTCAATTTTTTATAATATCTTCATTTTTATATTTTATTCAAAAATAAAAACATTATCGTTTTCTAAAAATCACATAAAACCATATTATAACATCGATTGAGACAAGAAAATAAATAAAACGAAACATTAAAATCGATATGTATCTCACTACATTGTACGGGTACCTTTCTAGTAGTTCCTAATGTAGCTCAGTATATAGAGGAATAAAATAACTTTGTTTAAATACAAAACATATCCTTAATTTCATACCTTTCGTTAACTTCAATCGTTGCGTGAGACAAAAAATGTCTTCATTAATGTCCTCGAAGACGAATTTCATATATAACCAAGTTAAAATTGGCAGTAATAAATTTTATTGGTCCAACTTGTTACCTTGGTTATTTTTTATACCGTTCAATTTGTATTTGTATCCTTATTTTTATTTTGTCGTTCTATTCCAATCAAATTAAGGAGAGTGTTTGGGATTGCCTATAAAAACAATTTATTTCGATATGACACCGATAATAAGTACTTTTAAATGTTTGGATAAAAAATTTATACCGGTGTCAAACCGGTAATAAGTAATTTTTGAAGAAATTAAACTCTTATAATTTATAATAAATTAATAAATATTTTTATAAAAAACATAAGTTATTTCAAATAAACAATTCCAAATACCCCTGATTAATTTGTGGTAACACTATTTTTTTCTCGTTTTAAATGAAACAAATCCCCAAATCACCTGCATATATATATTGAAAAGAAGGGATTAGGGTTTCAACTCCTCATCGCCGTCCAAGCTGCTGCTCTCTGTTTTCCCAGCTGATTGCTCGCTTGTTTCTTCTGATCTTGCAAAATGGTAAGCTTTATTTCATTCACAAGTTGAAAATCTCTCCATTAACATGTAAATTGTGCTTTTATGCGTTGATATTGGTACCAGAATCCTTGTTTACGCTGCATATTAGTAACACCTAACATGATTCTTGTTTTATCTATTATTATGGTGTCTATTCTTTCGATTTATTTTATTTTGATGATTGTTCATGTGTGTTCGTGAATCAGCTTAGGCCTTAGCGCAGCATTCTATGACTTCTGTGTTCGTTGATTGTATGTAAACCGAACATTCTGTATTAGCATTTTATGTTCTGTTTTGTGATTAGTTTGTGCTCCTTGCGCTATTGATGTCAAATGGCTGATTTTGAACTTAAAAATCGATGTGAATTGTAAAACTTTGCGACGAACGTTTAGTGATCTTATGAGACTAAATAAGTTGTTGCCAGAAATAATTTGTTTGTATTTGAACCTGAACCGAAAGCCATGTCAAGTGCTATGTGTAGCTTGCCATTCAGATTACTTGGGAGTATTTTTGTAGTAATTTACCAAGGTTTTTGTATTTCATGTCAAATACATTCTCCAATTGGTTGAATTTAAAAGAAGCTTAATGTTATATTGGTCTTGATTCTCATGTGTTCAGCATTTGTCAGATCACTAAAGTTATCACTTGATTCCTAACCTACCTGAGATACCTAGGACATCTTGATGGTAGTAATTGTTGATGCTTATGTCCTAAAGGTTTTTGTCTCCCAATTTTGATTTGCAGACAAAGAGGACGAAGAAGGCTGGTATCGTTGGGAAGTATGGTAAGTGTCTTGCATTACTCTTTCATGATCATTGCTTTGAGCATCTTTTTCATGCCTATACTGGAACTATGTTTAAAGATATATTTGGTTTGGTTATACATTTGGTTCATATAAAGTCAAATATTTCAAATAATTTGTCTGGTAACATACCGCAATGACTTCTATGTTATCATATGTTGTATGATACATCGATGTGAACTGATGCCTGATTTAGTCTTTGGTGTACTACAGCTGTTGTATACCTGTACAGCAGCTGAAGACATTTAGTATGTTTTCTGCTAGTATTTTTTGATGTATTCATTTAACAAACAAAAAATTGTTTTTTCTGGCGCATTAATGTTATTTAAAAGATACATGTGCCTTGCACCTTGGCATCAGGTCCCTTTTGCCTCACTTTAAATAACATTGGGCGCAAGTTATGATATTATTATACGTAGTTCCTTTCTACATCATGTTTAATTCAAGACTTTTAGGGCATGTTTGGTACATTGGACGAGATGGAACAGAACATGGATCATTGTTCCACGCTTGGCATTTGTTCCACACGCGTGTTCCACCCCCGTGTTCCACCCCCACCTCATGGAACAAGGTGGATCTGTGTGACAAACCTATATTTTACAAATATAACCTCAAACTAAAACATAATTCTCTTCTAAAATATCAAATACGCCTCTCTTTACACTTTATTCATTAAAAAAAAAATTATTAGTTGTATTTTATGCTCTTTAAACTTTCACTTTACTGTTCTTAAAATATTGTTGTAATACAGTTTTTATATTTTGGTTATTTATGTAATTTATTAAATATTAATCATGATAAAATAATATAGAAAATGTATACAATAAAAACTGTAAACTACATATTTTGGTGTCATTTTAATAGTCTTGACAAAAACTTTCTTATGGTATATTTCGTTATAAAAATATTTATTTTGTTATAACTTAATAAATTACGTAAATTAGTCAAAATATATAAACAATTCATTACAGGTAAATTGGTCATTTTATCTGTTCCGTCCTGTCCAATTCTGTTTTACCAAACGCCGAAAAATTGTTGTGTCCTGTTCTGTCCTGCCTGTCTGGATACCAAACGCACCTTTAATGATCTTCTCAAACTACAATGTATCATCATACTTCAATTGTTATTAGTTACAATGCTTATATATTTTCCACACTGTTGGACACTTGCAACCTTCTCCAGGTACCCGTTATGGTGCTAGTCTGCGAAAGCAGATCAAGAAAATGGAGGTCAGCCAACATAGCAAATATTTCTGTGAATTTTGCGGCAAGGTATACCTACTCTCTGTTTTCTATTACCAACCATGTCTGCTTCCATTTTCCATCAGTGCCTAAATTTCCTATTTCTTATCCTCCATGTTCTTCACTTTTTGACCATCGGCTACCAAATTTTATGTACTTCACAGTATGCGGTGAAGAGAAAAGCCGTTGGGATTTGGGGTTGCAAGGACTGTGGCAAAGTCAAAGCAGGCGGTGCCTATACCTTGAAGTAACAATCCTTTCTCGCTGCTTTTCTTTTTTTAAAAATCATAATCGGCTCTATTCACATTACAACCTTACTGATGTTTTACTTCTCTTTTCTGTGTGCAACAGTACGGCAAGTGCTGTGACAGTGAGGAGCACAATTCGTAGGCTGAGGGAGCAGACCGAGAGTTAAGTATGCATCTGTTTTGTTTTAGTCTCTGATTCTTAGAATGATCATCATACTTTCATGTCGAAGTCTTCCATTTTTACTCGTTTTAAACCTTGATGGATTATGTCAGATTGTTCATTTATTGCATCAGTGGGAAGGTATCTGGAAACCAGTGGATTTTTATTTGGTTATGCATGCTTGCAACATTGTTGTGTTATTTAGTCCTGTGGAACTGTGATGCCTTCATCTGTGTTGATCACTACTTGCTGCATTTGGGTAGGCAGCACACTGTTTTTCGTTAACTGTCATCACTGCACATTTAGTTGGGGCCTGTTTACAAATTGGTAAGCTGTGCAGGGCTGTTTGGTTGGTTTTTCATTAAGTCATGTATGGATAAAGCTGTTTGTGTTGATTAATCTGTCTGTATATATTTGGGAAGGTTTTTGTTTTGGAGGGTTTTTTATGGAAGGTAATTTATAAAAACAAATTGTAAAAATAATTAAATTACCTTTTATTAAATGGAAAAGTTTAAAAAAGACAAATCAACTTTCTTATTGTGAATTGTTTAGTTTCGAATTTTTTTTTAATGAAAAAAATCATTAAACATTCTTATTTTGAATGATCAAGTCTTTGAACTGTTTTATTGAATGAAAAATGCGTATTATAAACTTTTTTATTTTGAATGATCAAGTACTTAAACATTTTTTGAATGATCAAGTTCTTAAAACATTTTTTGAATAAGCAAATCATCTATGTTCTAAAGTAGAAAAAAGAATATAAATCAGTTTTAATGTTTCAAACCCTACGTCATTCAAGCCTTTAGCACACAATGAAGCCACTCCCTCTTGCCACTCTTTGTCGCCTCATTGTTGTCTGGTCTCAGCTGTACCACCGTTGGCCCCTACCATCGATCTTTATCTTTTTATCTGTTTTTCTTTTGATTCTCTCTATTTTACAATAATTTAATGGAGCACATATAAACATAAAAGAACATAGGAAAAAAAAAGACAATCAAAAAGAGAGATCGATGGCAAAGCCAACAACGGTGATGGGTGTGATAGAAAGCAAACGACGATGAGGAGACGAGAGGTTTGAATGACGTAGGGTTGGGAACGGTAAAATCGATTTAAGTTTTTTTACTTTAAAACTTTCCTAGTCGAATTCAGGTTGTTTTTTGGGTTAAAAATGTAGGTAATCAATTTTTAAAAGTTCAATGGTTTATTTATTTAAAAAAATTTCAAGGACTTAATCATTCAAAATGAGAAATTTAATAGATTTTTAATTCAAGAAAATAGTTCAGCGATTTAGTCATTTAAAATAAGAAACTTTAATGGTTTTTTCATTCAATTTTTTTTAAAAGACTATACTGTTCAAATTAGGAAAGTTGGTTGAGGTTTTCTAGACTTTTCTCTTTATTAATTGATTATTATAAAACGAACGTTTTTAACATATTTTAAATTATTATTACAAACAAATCATTTGAATTCCCGTGAAATACAATGTGATTTCTAAATCGAATGTTTGTTGCGACTATAGGTTTCGTCCACAGTCTTGAAATAAATCTCTTAGTACCCACAAGTACATATGTAGATGACAAGATTAGAACCCGGATTGAATTCTTTATAAGATCATTTTGTTATTAATTCTAACATGTTTGACGTTAAAAATCAAGTTGGTTATGAACGGTTTTAGTTTTCTTGGCTAAATGTTTCAAAGATCTTGATCATTGATTGAATGTTAGGGGATTAATGGCAAGAGTCAACACTCTAACTTACTTTACCAGATAAGATTGTAGTCCATCAAAACGGTATCATATGCAACAATTTATCCGGTAAGTGTAGTCAGTCACCCTCACTATAATGGTAAGACTTTTCATACTTATCATCGCTTTTATTGGGTAAGATTATTGGCCTCTTGCCATATTATACAAGAAGGTAAATGACCCAGTGGAGCTTTTCATGAGCGGGACGGTCCGCTAGACCCATCCTGTTTGGTCCGCTAGAAAAGTGGACTTGGATTACCATTCTCGAAAAATTGGGCAGGCCCGGAACGACTTGTTAAAATTAATGGGCGGTGGAAAAAAAATTGGGCATGCCCGTCCGGCCCATTAATATTTTTATAGTGATTAACTTATATGATTAAAGTTTATAAATAAAATTGTAAGTCTTGATACTTATCAATTCCCACTTAATAATGACTTATGATAATAACACTCTTTAAAAATCTAAAAAGTAAAAACATAATTCTTAGTTATCTCATTTGGTCATTTTTTTATCATATTTTGTGAAACAATTTTTTTAAAATCATATACATTGTTATGCATTTGCATTTAATTCTAAGTAGGAAAATTTGGTATGTATTTTGAATTATTTTACATAATCCGTAAATTGATATCAGTTTTGTTTTCTTAAATACATAAAAAGATTTTTAGGCCCGTTAACTCGCGAACAACCCCGACCCCGTTTATAGAGTGGATATGAACAAGTTTTCAATCCTGTAAAAGAAGTCTTGGGTTTACGGTTTACCATACAAAATAATAGGTTAAGCCGCCCAAGCCTGCAAATGGTCGGCTCCATAACCCAACAAACGCTTAGTAAACAGCCCTTCAGTTTCAATTCAAAAAGACGAAAAAAAGGTTAAGAAATCTATTCAGAGAGAGTAACACACAGACCGAAAAAGATAAGATGTACGCAAACCTTACACAATAAAGCCACAAAGAAGGATTAGAAGCAATATAAAACTAAGTAGATGAGTTCTTTCTGAATGACACAAACATATACATTCTACATTTGAACAAAAGTGGCAATAAGAAGAAAAAAGGCATATTCCTAATTCTCATGAATCTTGGTGGCTATGGCAGTGATTTGCTGCCATCAGCCCTTTCCTCAAATATCCATGTTGATTTCATGTTACACCATGAAAAAGAGAGAAAAAAACAAACCAAACACCTTTAGTAGCAGCAGCAGCAGCAGCAGCATATCATATATAAACATATACTTATTTGTAGCCAGAAGCAAGAGGGGATACCATTTGCTTGCTCCTCAATCAGTACTTTTCTTCCTTTTTCAATATATCCTAAGCTGATTGCGGTTCCAGGCGGCACCCACCTCCTTCCGCCACCACCCACCACCACTTGTTACTTGTAGAGAACTAGAATCAGACAATGTCTAGCGGTGGTAGATGATCATCATCACCATTGTCATGCTGATGCATTCGGTTTTGTACCGCCTTAACTGCCGCCACTCTTGCTGCATTGGCCGCCCGGTTAGCGGCAGTCACGGCTCTGTTCACCCTCTCGTCCACATTTGCTACACCAACTGCTTTCTCAGCTATACGTCTTGCTTCCTGAAAAACCATTACAAAATGTCGATTGATTTATAGACAACATGAAAAAGAAACCAACGATGCTCAAGGCCTAATTTGATTTGGCTACTTGATGTGCGTTTGGTATGAAGAAAAGACTAAACATGACAAGACAGGCAAGAGTGAGGTATGCAGGTGAAAGAATTGTGGAAGGTTTGAATGTTTTAATTTGACATGGTAGTCTAGTAATTTACCAAACTTGTCGGGGCTGTTTGGTTGGTTTTCCATTAAGTCCTGTATGGATAAAGTTGTTAGTGTGGATTACTCTGTCTATATAAATCGAGAAGATTTTTGTTTGGAGGGATTATAAATGGAAGGAGAGTGTTTTTTAATTGGGAGGACAGGTTTTGAAAAAAACTTGGCTTTCTGCATAAAGCCCCCCTAGAGCTTACTGAAGAAGCCACTTTTTATATTACTAAGCCACTACCAAACAATCATGTATAGCTGACTGAATAAGTTGTGAGTCCCATAAAGCTCATTAAGCTGCTAATAAACAACCCTAATTCTCCCTGGTTTTTGTTAAACCTATTTTGGTGGGACAGAAAAAATACATTTTTGTCCTACTCAGTTATGTCCGGTCTCAACTAATTGTTGCACAAAACATGGGACACAAGTTTTTGTAATAGTCTTGTCCTGTTTTGCTTAACAAACACACCCTACAGTATCATGGTCCTAATTTACCTGAACAGCTTTAAGGACTTTGGCATGAGATACAGATGTTGATCCAGCAAGAAACGTATCTCGAGAAGTTGAAATGCTCAAAACCCCGTTATCCCAATGACCCGATTGAGTGTCTCCATTTCTGAAAGTATACATACCAAACCCTTGTCTTCTTCCTTCATGCCAACCACCCTCGTATCGATGTCCATTTGCAAAACGGTAAACACCAAACCCATGCATCTTATCTGCAAAATACTCTCCAGCATATGTATCCCCATTTCTGCATCATCATTTAATCACATAAAAGAAAATGTTATCATTGGAACCATGATGAAGGGCAAATTGGTAATTTCAGCATTGAGAAAAAAAGGCATGAAAGAGAATGTTATCATCTTCATAGGGACGTCCGGGGATGGGAATAATTGCAATTTCCATTGGATGGGAGGAGTGCCAAACTACTAATCATTGTAGGTACGTTATTTAATATAGAGAAAGCTACATGAAACAAGCAATCATCAACATCAAATTCACAAACCTACCAACTTTTATTATGTAAAAGTAACAATAACAAAACTCCTTACTTAATTTATGCAAATGGTGGATCCGTATGACCCCTAAGTTTGGTTTGTGGGATTTGGAATTGAATTCCATTTCAATATTGTGTTTGGTTTGAAGGAAAGTTGGGATTTGAAATCCCACAACTGACGGATTTAGAAATCCCTCGAAGATGGTTGTCATTTCAAATCCAAATCCCATGTATTTCAATTGTTTTTATCGTATCTCTACCCCACCTCTTTCACAAATCTGCCTTAATGTCTCTCCATCGCCTCCACATCTGACCGAAACAAACATATATTTACAAAAATTAAGATTTCATTCAAAATCCTACAAACGAAACAAGATTTATAAAAGAACGGAATTCAATTCGATTAATCCTACAAACAAAGACACCAAAGAATCCAAATCCTGCCACGAAATCCAAATCCCTCAAAAACACTCCGTCAAACCAAATGGGTCCCGAGTTAATAGGTTGTTTAAATCTTTCTAAAAACATAAATATATTGGTTTGTTGGCCATTTAACAAAAAGATGGAAGTTACAACTTCTAAACTAAACCAAAAAGTTGGCAAGATTCACAAATGATACTACACAGTTGGTAGATTGTATGAAATAGAAGCTTCAACCATAATCTACTCAAAAACCTACATACCAAAAGATAAACAACTTACACCTATCCATCACCAAATTGCAAGATTCTACATGATGAAACAAGTTCACAAGATGCGAATGCATCAACACCCATCATTCCTCTTCCACTTGCAAATATGTTTGTATCAAAAACACACCAATTTGTTGAACGGTTACAGGTGGTGATCAGGGAAAAACTAAAAAAACGAAATCTAAGCAAGTATCAACTGCTATTGAAGTCAGAAGATCATTAGCAAACAATTGAATCAAGAATGAACTAAATTTAAACCATAAGTAATCCACCAAGAAGAGAAACTGTAGCTGTTAGATACAGATAAGGCACAAACATACTAATGGATCACTAACATATAAAGGTTCTCAAACGGGTACGAATCTTTGGGATTCAAGATTGTTAATTGCTATGAGAATTCAAGAAGTTAAGGTGAAAAGTTCACCTGAAATGGTAGTGGCCAAGACCATGTTTGATACCTCCTTTGAATTCCCCAGAATACTTGCTTCCATCTTCACATGTATGAACTCCACACCCATGGCACTGCCCTTTGAACCACTCTCCAGCATACATATCCCCAGTGTAAAATCTATAAACTCCATAACCATGTCTCAGTCCCTGCCTATATTGTCCCCGATATCGGCTCCCTTTGGCCCAAGTTTCAACACCATATCCATCATATTTCTGATCAACCCAATCACCTTCATACCTTCCATTCAAATTGTAGTAATAAACCCCACTTCCAGAACACTTTCCCTTATAAAACTCACCCTCATAGACATCCCCATTGCTGTATACCTTCACCAAGAAGCCTGAATTTGTGCTTTCCTCTAATCGGGTCTTTGACCCAATTGACCAAACAACTGGTGGGTGTGTTTTTGATGCGTTATCTGATTTATAAAGCTTCAGATTTGGAAAATTTCGAGCAACGAATAGCCGGAATGAAGGGAGATTAGTGGAATGAAAACTATTAATATTAAATGAAGATAAAAGCACGCAACAGAAGGCAGCAACAAAGAGTATGTAGAGATAAAAAGATCGATAGCTCAAGGAAAAGTAATAAATTGAAGGCAAAAAGAGAAGGATTAAAACCCTGAAAGGGACTTTAATCCAAAAAAGCTTAACGTGAGTAAACTTCAACAGTTTCAGCGCAATTGTCTTGGTGGCTAAAAGGGCTTCTGAAGATGAACAACAAACTAAAGACTTGTGATGAGAAGTTCTCCGAGGGTGGTTTTGGGGGTGATGGTGGTGATGATGATGATGGGGTGAGGTCTTCTGTTGAGGACTCATAACCACAGGTCTTTTCTGAGGATTTGAAAGAAGGGTAGTTGTTGTGGTGGTTGCGTTTTCCTTGAAATTGGGTCGTTGTTCATTATAATTTGTTGGTATTTGGATTTGAAGCTGGGAGATTCTTGATACGTAGTTGGCGTTGAAATTAGAGTTTTCTTGAAATTGAAACTGTGGGGTTTTCGAATCGGAAGAGCTTCGTTCTTCTCCGATCTGAAGGCCGGTTTTCTTCTGACGCATTGACTGGAAAACAAAATTAAAAAAAAAAACAACCCAAAACGATTACAGCTCTCTGTGTATCATCGAGAAACCCTAGAAATTCTTGAATTCTTCCGAAGAAAATCCGTTTGATCTAGAGATGAAGTTGGGGTTTCAGGTGGGTTATGGATCGTTGTGATTTTCTGTCGTCTGGTTTTTTTGGAAAATGGAAGAGGGAAACACAAAAGGCTCAAGTGGGGGAGCCTTGTTGATATAAATATACAGGGGGTGCTTGTGACAACTATCAAAACTAATGGGGTTATTTTTGAAATATTGGATTTTGGAACCACAAATGTTTCTTTTCAAACCCTCGTTTCTCTGATATTTACTGATCTCACCGCCTCCCTAAAAAGTCTTTTTGCTCCTTTCTTTTTTTAATAACTTTTTGACAAAGAAAATGATAATTTATAGACTTAGGGATATTTTGGGAATAGTGTTTCCTTTTCTTCTTCTATTTTCTTAAGAATTATTTATTTATTGATAAATTTTATCCATTTCTTTTTATTTAAGCTGTAATTGATAATCATAAGTTTTTTTTTTCAATATCAGGTCTAAATGGTTTGATGCAGAATGATTAAATGATCAAAATGATTAAGAGGCTCTCATTATATAATACAAAATAAAATATAATTGTTTGGTAATTGTTTACAATGAAATCATGGCGCTGAATGGTTAAGTGTTTTTAGTTACAAGAAACAAAACTTGCAAAATTGAAATAGCTAAACAAGAAAGTTGGTAATATAAAACTTAAAAACCAATAAATATGTTTTATAGTTAAGACGAAGGATCATGTGGGAAATAAGGTTATTGTGAGAAACGTAAGAAAAGATCTTAACTCTTGATCACTTTTGATTCCATGCTCACTCATTAATTTTACGTTATCAGTTAGGTTATCAACAATTCTTATCAATTGTGAATAGTTTATCACGAAACAACTAGTTTATCAATTAGTTTGTCGAATATGACCTTGAAACTATGTAAAGTATGATTAAATTATAAATATGTTCAAATATTGTAGCTCTTTTTAAATGACGGAATCGTACAAAAATCAATTCAAAAGGTCTAAAACTTAACTATATTATGAATTAAAACGCACAAAAAAATACATTTAGGGGTCGTTTACCAAATGTTTACCAGGTAAACGCATACTGACAAAAGTCACCACCCCTTCTTAACTTGTTGGGTAACATTCTCAGCCATCAGCATGAATTGTTTGTAAACGTCTCCTATGTAACAACTCGTTTCACATTGATAGAAAATGAGATTTGCGAGCTCCTTATAAAGCTCAAGTAGTTGGCTACCAATAACTTTCACCATGGTTTAAGTTAGATTTGAAGTTATTGGGTCAGCGTGTTGCTTTGGGTTTTGGGGTATTACAAATGGTATCAGAACCAAAGTTGACCTTTTGTACAATCGGTATGGTAAGGCAAACCTCATCGGGAATGATGAGTCCTTGAGGGGGTGTTTATAACATCTTAGGCAAATCCCACATCGTCGACGACAAGAAGAAAAATTATGAGCAGGCCTCACGAGGATCTCAAGAGTTTAGGTGAGGGAGCTTATAAACTTAAGTAGTGGGTTACCAATACCCGAACCTCGATTATTGTCACGCCTCTTACCAAATAACATTTTTTATCCTTGTCATTGTTCACCATACATGATAAACGACTTAGTAAACACTTATCTAGTAAACTATCTACATACAAATCCAAGAAGGAATAAAAATCCTCTTATGGTCACGGAGGTTCAAATGCGATGGTCGCCCTGAGATTAGTCAACTCACATAATGAGTTGGATATCCAGGTTAATAAAAAAAATATGGAACCAACAACAAAATCGAATGACTTTTCAGCTTTTACTGTTTTACATATGGGTTTTGTTGTAAATTTAAAAAAATTAATGATTATATATTTGTGAAAATAAGTTGGTAGAAAAGAAACAAGCTTGAGTAGATTCCTTTTATGTAAAACATTTAACGTGTTTTTTTCATTTAAAACCAAAATGTGTCTGTATGTAATCGTGGTTATAAATTTTACTTACCATGTTTTTGTTTTTCTATTAGTTAAAGAAATTGTATTTAATTAATCGAGAAACATGACGTATAATCAGATAAAATACCAAAAAATCATCAATACTTTTATATACATACTTATTACACTTGTAAACGGAAACGAATGTAAATATCCCAACCCTGCTACCAGCCTACCAGGTTTAGTGGAACAGGTTAAGATATACTGTCACATTTCAAGATATCAGTTCATTTCTACAGTTGATTGTATTTTTTTACGTTGTCGACATTAAACCACTACATAAACAAACCCATTATGGAGATAATACGACATTTTAAATGAAATAAATGACGTATATTTCAACTAAAAGACGATACCTACCCATCCATAAATTCAAAGAGTCTCCTTTACTAAACGGTCAAAATTTATTGCTGACATAAACACAAAATTAATAGTAAAACCCACTAAGTCAAGCCCTAACGTCTACCTTGATTTGACGATTCTATTTATTTGAACAAATTAATTAAAAGTAGCAGTGACAATCACAACATTTTTCAGGTCATATGAACATTATTTTTTATATTTGACAAATATTTTTAAAAATTATTTTTTATATATAAAGTACCGTTTATTGATGTATATTACTTAGAAATCAAGATTACAAGTAAATTTTACATAAATACAACCTATTAAAACTTCATATTTAAATTTATGTAACTAACTGCAGATAAACATAATCAAATATATGATACACATCTCCTTTTAAATAAAAAAAATTAAAAATATAATTAAGATAATCATTGAGTTCTAACAAAATACTTAATTATTATATTTATAAAAGATTATATTATTAAACCAAAAAAATGAATTAAATAAATACACAAAAAATGAGAAATTTTAAAGTTATTTTGGTACTAATATCAATATTTTTTTTTCTATTTTTTATAACATCTACCGAGACAAAAAAAAACATTAAAATTAAGATGTATCTCGCTATATTGTGCAAGTACCCTTCTAGTATTATAAAACATTTGGAAAGAAACTATTAAAAATCATTTTTTATGCATGAAGTATTGTTTATTAAACCAAAGGGCATTTGGCCTAGCGGTATCTGAGCCTCTTGCTTCCTAGGAGGTCAGAGGTTCGATCCTCACCAATGGTGAGGGATGTGTGTGTGTGTGTGTTTATTTGTTGCATTTGCCGTATATAAAATATATTATATACTTCAAAAAACAGTATCGTTTATTAATGCATATTACTTAAAATTTGATATTACAAGTAAATTGTGCGTAATTACAACTTATTAAAGCTTATTTTTTAATTCTATAATTAACCGTAGATAAACATAATCAGATACAAGATAAACATCTCATTTTAAATATAAAAAATTTAAATAGGATAATCATTGAGTTCTAGCAGAATCATTATCTTTATAAAAAATATATTGTTAACCAAAAAAATAAATTATGTCGGTAATAGACCTAAATTAAATTATAATAAAAAAATTGAATGAAAGAAATTGTAAAAAAACAATAACTTTTAAATATTTAATTTGATATTAATATCGATATATTTTTTCAATGTTTTATGACATCTTCAAATTCATTTTTATTCAAAATTAAAAACATTATCTTTATCAAAAACTACGTAAACGTAAACCGTATTATATATCAACAGAGACAAAAATTAAAACGAAACATTAAAATGAAGATGTATTTCGTTGCACTGCACGAATACCCTTCTAGTTATATTATATATTCGCATATTCATGTCAATCTTTCAAATTTATGAGATTTTTAATCAGTTTCAATATATTTAAAATTCATAAACTTAATTGATCGAAATTCATATACTTTTGATTAATATCACAAATCATATATTTTTCAAAAGAAAATATGTTTTCTATTTTTTGAAGTATATAATATTTATATACATCAAATAAAATAAATAAACTTACATACATTTTTCATGTTTGATGAGGTTTGAAACCTTGACCTATTAAAAAACCAAAGATTCACATACCACTGGACTAAAATTCGCTTATTATCCGTTTTCTTTTCGTGGGTGTTGAAATTGAAAAGCGAAATCAAATTTGACATCTTGCAATCTATGGTTTGCATCATAGAAGGTAGTCCAAGAGTGGTTGATAATCATTAAATAATATTATTTTTAATAAAATCAATTATTTAGGAATCCTTTGTTTTCTATTTAATATTTTAGGATAATATTAAAATTGAATACCATGAATATTTTAAATTATAAGGAATTATTTATTTTTAAATTAAACGCAATAATAAATACTTTTTAACAAGTATTATTAAAAAAAATCGTTTTATTTCGTACAAATATTATTGATTTAAAAATTATTATTTTTTAGATATTTTAGTTAAAGTTTAAAAACCTGTATTAAATACAACCTCTAATATATAACATAATTGACAAAGAAGCAGGGCGACTTTTTCCAAATGCAAAAACTGAATGAGCCAACCCGCTATGCAAACCGACTAATCACAGAACGACCACCCGCTTCACAGATAGTTCGGAGTCACCGTATTTGAATCTTCATAGCCACAATGTTTAACCATCGTTTATAATTTCTATTTATTCAAATATAAAATTTAAATTTTTGATATATTACAAAGATACATAACTATTTTATTAATTTTGTAAATATATATTAAATTAAAAAAAAAAGACGATTGGATCTCAAGAAAGTTTTTGTGCAGACGGTTTTAATTTAATTTAATTAAAATTAAAAAAATAAAATTATCTTGCTTTGACTAAATCTTACACGACTACCGAGGTTGAATGTTACAGAATTCATCGTTAATTATGATGCTTTGATGCGTATACCCGACAAAACAATTGATTTTTTAATTAATACCAAAATAATTGTAATTATCAACTTAGATATTCCCATATTATTATATTTTATATTTATAAAATATATATTTTATATTATATTTTAGCTTCTTGTCCAATATTCTTTGACCTTTGCTAAAAAGAAAAATATAAATCACAATTTGAAATTTATCTGGGTTTCTGTTTAAAGCAGTTTTAGAAAATACGTTTTGATGTATGTTATTGGAAAACGGCTACTTTGCGATGCTGTATCAATATATCATTTATTTTTAACTGAACGATAGATCTGATATGATATTTGTTTTTCAGTATCTTCTTAAAATACCTCAGTTTCCT